TGACGTCGCGACTTTAGTGACGCGATTTAATCTCCGCTATTTTGCGTAGCGCGGTTTTGTCGTGCCACGTTATTTTTAGCTTGCTTCCCCTTAATGGCTCTACTTAAGTGGTCAGCTTTGTTACATTTGCAACAGCATTTAGCAGGTTGCTCTGAGTTTTTCTTTCAGCTGGTGCTTCTTGGTTTTCTTAAAGGGGGAAGGGCTGGCTGGAGTCTCTTGGCAGTTTTCTGAGGCTGCTGTGAGGTTTTTGGCACTGTCCTTTGGGGTGTATTTCCCAGTTACAACAGCGCTGAAAAAAAGTCACTTATAACTGTTATTTCAGTTACAACCGTTGCAGCATCCTTGTGGTCATCAAAATTCAGACGCTTGTCAACTGGGTCATATTTATGACTGTATCAGTGTCTCAGGGTCATATGATCCCCTTTTGTGACTTGATAAGCAAAGTCAATGGGGAAGCCAGACTCACTTAATAACCAGGCTGCTAACTTATCAACTGCAGTGATTCACTTAATAACCGTGGCAAGAAAGGTGGTAAAATGGGGCAAAACTCAACAAATGTTTCATTTAACAACAAATTTGGGGCTGAAGTCTGGTCGTAAGTCGAGGACAAGTCAGTAGAAGGCAATTCTGCAATATTAAGATAGTACTGGGCTCTTCTTATATATCGGACAGGCCCAGGGGAGAGAACCGCTGAGGGTGCTGGTCTACGAACATGAATGTTTCGGGTTCTCTGCTACTCCTTCGCTTTCAACCTACTGTAGCAACTATTGAAGATAGCGGCGCTTCCGCCGGCTAGGAGAGGGAGAAAGCGCTCCAATCCGTACTCCAGGCTTCCACACACACCCGCCCCTCGCTTCCTTGGGAGTTGTAGTCTTTCGGCGACGCGGGGCCTGCCCTCTGCTGTGTAGCGATTACGTGGCTCGAAAGCGGAGGCAGGACGCAAGCGCGGCATCATGGCGGCTCCCGGTGGTCGGTCGAGGGTGCTCCTGCTGCTGCTGGTGGTGGCGGCCGGGCTCGCCCCCCGTGCGTGGGGCCTTTACTTCCACTTGGGCGAAACGGAACGCAAATGCTTCATCGAGGAGATCCCGGACGAGACCATGGTCATCGGTGCGCGGGGGAGGACTGATCGTATTGGGGAAGGAGTGGGGGGGGGGACTTCCATGTGCCGAGGCGTGTGGTGGGTTCGGGGATGCGTGTGGGTAGGACGTGGTGGAGGGCTTTGGAAATGAACGGACGGAGCCAACTTCCTCCCTCTGCCACGCAGGGAATTACCGGACGCAGTTGTACGATAAGCAGCGAGAAGAGTACCTTCCCGCTACTCCCGGCCTGGGCATGTTTGTGGAAGTGAAGGACCCCGATGAAAAGGTACATTTAAGCAGATGATCTGAGTGAGGTTCTCGGGTACATTCTTCCCTCTGGGGCTCTGTCACATGGCGGAACATTGGGAGAAACTCTACACTCGACGCCAGAGACTCAAGAAACACAGAACCAAATGCTTCCTAGTAATGGATTGCGTGGGTGTAAACACAGGTGTGCATATCGTGCCTGGGAATTTGTGACTGTACCATATGTAAAACCAACACATGCTTTCATGTCCAAATCTGTTCTCACATCTATACTTTGCCACTGCTATTCTTAGGCAGTTTACTGTTCTGTATCTTCAGAAAGTTAAACGAGTCTGGCCACCTTTCTACTCACATCAAAAAAACATTCCTTTCAGAGTGGTTTAAAAAAATCAGTTGCCCTTTCCATTTTGGAAAACAGGGCAAACTAATCTGGAATGAAAAATAAAAGGATGACATTTGTGGTCCGTCATTCTGTTTTTAATTTTATTTTTTTATTAGAGTACACAAGTATATATGGTACATAATAACAGAAATAAGTGAAATAACCTGAGTTACGTAACAAATTCATTAAGAAGTAAAAGAAAACAAATTCCATATTTCCCCTAATAAGGTTATACAACATGTAAAACGATACAAAAGTTCCATGCTGTTTGCCCCTTATTGTCACCAGCTTAGTACAGTTGATTATTTCAAACATCATTCTTCAAATAATGGATTTCCTCCCATAATATTATATGTTTCATAATTTAATAAATAAGCTCTAGTCTCTATGTTAAGAATGAATTCTATTCTCTAACTCTGTGTTTAACCTGAATTTGTACCTAAGTTGGAACTCCTACTTACAAAAGAGCTGCCTGTTACTAAAACTGGCAGACTGTGTTGTCCTTTCCTGAGCCAACGAAGCATTGAAGTCATGCAATGAATCCTGGGACGGTTGAAAACAAGCTGCATAAATTAAATAGCTGTATAAATATAGCTCATGAAAAATGCAAATGTTGTATCTTTAAATCTAGAGACTGTCCTTAAGTCAGATGTCTTCCTACAAAACCCATGATTTCACATGAACTTTTGAAAAACTGTAGGAAAGAAATCTGAATAACAAATATGTATAATAAGTATGTATAATTGCAACAGAATGGTATATTAGTTGGTAAATTCCTTGCAGGGAAGAGCTTCAGCATAGACCTGGTCAGATGTTCTTAATTCAGGGACTGCCTGTATATTATGAAATCCTGAATATTGAACTATGCTGAAATAATTGATTGCATTTAGAACATTTAATATCTACTATATGGTGAAAAGGTTTGCAAGAAAATGCTCAGTTTTTTCTCAGATTGAAATCCTATACACATATCTTTTTGGTCTGACTATTCTCAAGTGCTTTCTCATATATCTGTTCCATTTACAGGTGGTGTTGTCTCGGCAGTATGGCTCAGAGGGCAGATTTATCTTTACTTCACACACCCCAGGAGAGCATCAGATCTGCCTGCACTCCAATTCCACAAAGTTTTCCCTTTTTGCAGGAGGCATGCTGGTAAGGTATTTGTTAAATTAAGAGAAGATTTTCCCCCTCATGCTTGCTATTAAGGCATCTTGCTGTCATTGGTATTTGCACTTCGAAAGGTTTATTTTTTTAATATATTTTTTTTGCAGAGGGTCCATCTTGACATCCAAGTTGGGGAACATGCCAATGATTATGCTGAGATTGCAGCTAAGGACAAGCTGAGTGAGCTGCAGTTGCGTGTTCGCCAGCTTCTGGAGCAGATAGAACAGATCCAGAAAGAACAAAACTACCAAAGGTGGCGAGAGGAGCGTTTCTGGCAAACCAGTGAAAGCACAAACCAGAGGGTTCTCTGGTGGTCCATAG